AGAGCCAGCATCCAGCACGTGGCTCCTCGGAAAGACTTGTTGAGGCTTAAGGCCACAAGCGTTAGACCTTGAGAATCACAGTTCATGAGCCTTTGGAGCCTTCTGCGAACGCGGGTCTGGAACACCCTTGGCTACGACGTCGGGAGATTAGATCCCCAATGCTCAAATCATTACCGCAGAACCCAGCCATCTACCCAAAGACTAATCAAGACGAACATTATACGCGCCGCTCATGAGGGCCAGGCAGTCAGCACCCTCGAACTCGAAGTTGTCAGAACTTCATATCTGCCCAACGCCACTAAACACTCAACAGTCTCAATCTCTTTTTGATCACTGTCTGGTCCATTATTGATTTCGTTCCAGTCCCTCGCAACCCTCCACTTCGTCCTTCCGGTTAGCATGAAGCAGGAGATTATGATCTTCCCGATCCATGGCGGACTCCGCTTGTTCAAACAACCTCGAAACGGGTTATTCCCCGGTGAGTCCGGCGGCATCGTTCGATGTTGCCTTCGATTGCTGTCTCTTCCTTTCTTCGATTCTCTGCTGTGCTGCTTGCATATGCCGAAAGCCAAGGTAGTGTTGCTCTTGAGAGCAATGCGTTCTTGACTTTAAAGTGACGGGCAGGGCCATGGCGTGAGGCTGCGTGGACCGCGCTGTCGAAGGCTGCCAGGGGGATATATTTGGGCCCGCTGTCGTGTCGCTGCCTATGGCGGCTATACATTATACATCCATAGAAAATCATCACGTCTAAAAGGCAACTTCGCAAGTCAAGTCCTTTGCGGTATCACAAGCCAAGAGCACCGAAATCTTTTGCTTACTTTGGCACTGAATTAGTCTGTCTCTTCACTCAGCACTTGAACTGACCATGTGAACAAAGATATACGTGTAGTCGCGGAAGCCAAAGACCACCCATCTCCTGTTCAGAATTGCGTGATCGGTGCTGTTGGAAGGGAACAAACGTGGACTCAGCCAAGATTGCCTCCTAGCTAGCAATCGGATAGTGTACTACACTGGGACGTTTCTGCTCGTAATGCATTGATCACAGTATGCCTTGGGCTCGACTTTTGATTCCTGGTCTGTGACACAGCTTCCGGAGGAGTGCCAAAATGTGAAATCATAATTAGCTCGTGAAAAGACCTGGGATATCCGTCCGCGGCCCCATTTCAGAAGGGTATATCCGAAAAACTGTGTTCGTTATGCGTTGACAAACCAAGATCAGACAACGAAAGGGCTAGATTGCAGCGTTCCCAGGCGGGGACGTGCATTGAGGATCGAGGCGATGTCGAGACGTTCATCCTGGCGTCATACCGTGCCCCGGACCTCCCCAGAGGATACTATCCCGCAAAGTGTACGGCGAGCCTCCGCTTTGTGACGACGACGACATTGAGTGTGGTGATTTCGTTTTGTTCGCCAGTTCTTCAATGTCTTGGCCTGGCTCAAGCTGATGGTGGATTATTCGACTTGCGCTGAGGTTACTGTTCGCAGGCAGAGCCAACAGCCGTTGCAATGCAGCGATCGACCGAGACAGGGGCGCCGGCAGCTCCGAAGGCCCGAGGCCGGAGTTCAGATCCATCATGACAGCCATAAAACCGTCCAGCAACGATTTCACACGCTTATCTCTTAACGGTTCCTGCAATATGCTCAACATCAGAGCAGAACTCAGCGCCTTCTGCAGGACTGCCCAAGAAGTCTTGACGCTCGATGCCACGTTTTGAAGTCCCAGGAATGCGTGGACCGTCTTGGCTAGGCTTTCGATGCAGATGTCTCGGAGCTGGATCAGCTGTTCTGCGTTGGGTTTCTGGTGCTTTAGCAGTGGACGGAACAGCTCCGATGTGAAAAAAGAGATGTGGAGATCAAAACACCAATGTTCCAGCTGGTCCCTGATCGAGCGGCAGTTGGTGACGTCCCGAAGGTGGGGTGCCGCGTGTCTCAAGATGTCGGCGAATTCCTCTTGCACCTTGAGCATGTTCGAAGGCTCCCAGTGCAGATCTGATGAGATGGAGCGCTCTTGGACGATATGCAGCCCAGTGCTGCAAAGGCTCTTCATGCACTCAACGTACGACATGTCAGTCATGGCGGAAGCTTGTCTCTGCTGAGATTGTGCGGAGGCGAACATGAAACTTGACGGGGCACGATCGAAGGTGATTGACAGCAAACTGTCTTGCCAAAGAATCCGCCACCTACTGAACGTCAGGATCTTCCGGAATTGGAGGGGTGAGCGACGCTCACCAAAGTTCGCGTCGAGAATGCATCTCGGTCGAAGGGTCAGGCGAATCGGTGGCCTCATGCAAGCCGATTGTGATTGCCAATCTGATCGTCAGCCCTATCGAAGGTGAGAAACCATAGGCAGCGCCGCGAACATGAATGTCTTTACCTAGCAACGACCAGGCAACACCGGCGTTCATGTTGTTTGCGATGACGTTCCCAAGAACCAAGAGCGACTGGATGTCCAAAACCGTCGGGTGGCAGAGGTAATTGACACACCGGAGACATTCGTAGGCGCAACACACTGTGCCTATTATCAGTCTGGATATGCGGTAGCAAAATCTGAAGGGTGGGCTGTCGCATACCATACACTTGAGAGGTTAGATGACGTTCCTTTCGTGGGAGCGAGGAAGCTTGACATCCAGATGCAAGGCAAGCGAACATGAGACTGAGCCAGTGCAGGCTCTTCCCATAGACAGTGGACGACGCGTTAACGTAGTTGTCGATTGGCAGCTGTTGGCTGGATCGGCTGATGAGGAACTGGGTCAAGTCGGCCTCCAGCTGGTCGATGTCGACTACGGCTGGGTAGAGAATATGAGCGACATCTCGATACTGCCGAAGGAACTGGAAGCATTCTGCGTCAGAAGGTACGATTTTACAGATCTCTTGAACACGTGTAGAGGAACCGGTAGGCAAACCCCAGAGGTCGACAAATGGATATGTTGCGCTTTCGTTATCTAAGCCGAAAAGGGGCAGGGCACTCTTGCCAATGATGTCTTGCACAGCTACCTCGTCGCTTCTGGTGCCTAATGCCATGACCATAGCGGGAACCGAGTGACGACCTAGATGGACAAAGTCTCCAAGGAGTTCCGTTGGTGCTTGCACCCCAGAGGGAGTCGGATACACGTCTCTTGTATCTTGCTCGGCAAGGTTGCTTGGAGCCGGCGTTTGTGAAGTGGTTTTGCTCTGGAGCTTGCCTTGTACATCTTGTAGTAGAGCCTTGACGCTCTCCAGCTCCGACCATAGATTCTTGTCTTCAGGCGGCCGTCCTTCCGCAGCCACGGGTCTGGTAACTTCAGCCGGAGATGAGGTAAAGGCGGAATCGAGCGATCGTGTTTTCGGTGCCTGTTGATAGGAGCATAGCTCCGGATGCTCTCGGTCTATGCAACGCTGGCATGGAGTTCCATAGTCGCACTTCACCTTCCTCTGCCGGCAGGGGTAGCACACGCGAGCTTTGCGCGCCTTGCGTTTCCGGCGTAGGATCTGATCTATTTGAGACTCTCTCTGGATCGGATCGTCCGTTTCGTCTCCCTGCCGGGCGCTGTCCATGTCATTGGTATCGCCGAACGAGCATAGCGCTGGGCGTCACGGCAAGAGGGTGGTCTGACTCTCAGGCGGATCGTATAGGTAATGACGGCTGAGCGGGCAACTGCGGTCTGCACATCAAGATCGCTTAAGCCACGTGGGTCCGCGCCTAGACCAATTAGACGGGCCTGGGCTTGCCGCTTAACTGCAACACTTCAGCCTTGTGTTGCAAGGTATCGAGCAAGTTCTCCGCGAACAGCGAAGTTTCAGCGAGATGTCCGAGATTCGGCTGTTTGATCGGCGGCAACACGCACGGAACCATGTTGCAGGGGCTTGAAGCTGTCAGCTTGCTGCCTGAGTCAATCTCAATGTCGAGCAGACGAGCAGAAGAGAGCTTTCTTACGTTAGTCCGCCAAAGTATCAGCATGGAGCCTCGATAGCATGCTGCTCGCTCATCGCTCGGCGCAGGCAATTTATATCCGATGGCGCTCCCAATCGTCCCTCACAAATGATCGCCAGCAATCCACTGCAACTGAATCATGAACCGCCATCTCCTCCCTTGTGCATCTACGGCCATCTCTAGGTCCCAACAAGTGTCTGGCGCTTCCACACGATGTGATGCATCGCGACTTTGCTGTAGGGTTCTCGAGATAGTGGCTTGAGCCCCACATCTAGACCGCATACGCTGTATCGTGGGTATTGGTATCTACCTCGAAGAATAAGGTTCGCCATGTTCTTCCTCATTTTCCCTACTGCTGCAAGAGACCTTGATCATGAAACGCGTCTACATTGCTAGTTAAGGGCTCCGTCTCGATCTCGCAGTCATCGAGGCCCAATCGCAGATGGAGAGTATCACCCCTTTATGTGTATTTATCATGGGAACCAAAATCTGGCTATTCGCTTGCACACAGCTAGCGTGGGATGACCTGACCGATCTCAGGGCTGGTTTTCCCGTTACCACATACCCCCTGCCCGACTGCGACAAAGCCGTTGCCGCTGATACCTCGTCTGCGGAGGTTTCCACTTCTGGAACGCATACCCAATCCGCATTCTTCCAGGGACAGTCTCCGAGCATATCAACATGGAATAGTTGGAAATCGCTACTGGGTAACTTTCAGGTCGTGCAGTCAGAACATGAAGTATCATGGCATGCCAGTCTCAAGGTCTAGGCATGCGCAGAACAAGATCTCTCCTCGGAGCGCGTCAGTCTTGGTCGGAGCGTTTCTTCTCATTCCGATATTTCGAGGCATTGCGTTTCTCCCACTTCAGCGGAGCTTTCGACAAGTTCTTCACAACGATCCTCGCGGCACATCGCTTTTTCGTCGCGTGCATCCTCAACAGCCAACCAGCGAGAGCAGACCTGGCGTCAAAAATCCCGCGGGAAGCGGTCTCCAAGACCCTCTCGCCTCAGTTCCGCAGACGATGGCCTCAGAGCGAGAGCAGCTCACTCTGTTGTTGAACGTCGTTACCGCAACAAGCTCAACGACAATATGACGCAGCTCCAGCGGACCCTGGTGGCGAGCGAGCTTGCTACCTGTGTCTTCGGGCAATCATGGGCGCTATGCAAGCTCTCAGAGTCACTTACGAAGGTTGGCAAAGCTGAAATCATGACAAGCGCCATCGATTACGTGAACCAGGCGGAGCTCCAGATTCGGTGGATAACCCATGAGATCGAGACCTTGCAGAATCGAGTGCTGCACCTTCAAACGCTTCTCCCATGTGAATAGAGTATGTCTCAGGTTCACATGATGGCAGTATTCTTGTCGACGTCGGTCCCTTCTACATGATAATCTACGACCGAGAGGAATTGAGAAGCATGCAGCAAGACCCTTGTGGGATGTTTGGCATATGTTGATCGCTGTTCAAGGCTTCCCCGAATAGTGAGGCGCGCCAATACCTGTCACCAGAAGGGTATACCAATTCAGGACCACATTTCGCGCGTGAGAGTTCGGGCTAGCGAGGATGTGAGTAGGATACAGGATATGGTATTTTGCAACCGACGCCGGCCCCGGCCCGATGTTGATATACAGGGTGTGACAACGAGATTAGCCTTGGGTTTTATCACCATTCTGGGTTCGGCGAAGTGGTCAATGTACCTATCTAGCAAATTGCGGGGGACCGAGGAAGGAAGAAGAGCAGGCACGGCAGGCTATCCGCTCAATGCCGGACACTGATGCGGGGTCGACGGCGCTTACTGTCCGGGACAGACATATCATGTATTGCAAGGGCTTAATGTAGGCTTTGGGAAGAACCTGCGGATAAACACTGAGTCTTAGCGACGAAGCCTACTGTGTACGGGCAACTTCATACAAGCGTCTCGTCCGTTCTCTGGGGATCTGACCGGTATCCTCCAAAAACAAATCTTCTGCCAAAGAGCGAATACATAGTCAAATTGTATTCTTGAACCAGCACTGGCAAATTAGCTCGAACAATTGGCAAAGGAGCAGTCAGACCCTGCACGAGAGCAGGTTGAGATGGCGTGGGAAGAGGAATTCGAGTCTGCCACGAAACCTGGGCCAGGCCGTAGAATTGTGGGCGCTGTCGTAATCGCAGCTGATGCCTCTGGTAACTGTCCGCCAACTCAACATTGGTCCAACAACCGACTGACACCCTGGTAGGGAACATAGTGCATCATGATGCCAAAGGTTTCACGTCTGTTGACCCAGAGACCGCTAAACCGATGAGTGAGGACACCACCTTCTGGATCGCCTCGTGCACGAAGCTTTTGACGACTATTTGCGCACTGCAAAACGTCGAGCAAGGGAAACTGGTACTCGACGATGATGTCTCCGAGATCCTCCCCGAGTGGAAATCCCCAGACATCCTAACTGGTTGGGACCACGGTCAGCCACAGTTTCGGAAAGCAACAAAGAAAATCACGTTGCGCCAGTTGTTGACGCATTCCAGTGGAATGGGCTACGACTTCCTGTCGCCAGAGCTCGCAAAGTGGCGGGAGTGGCGCGGAGAAGCAGTGCGTCCTGGCGGAGGTGAAATAGTAACATCCCACCTTTTCCATTGCCGCGTTTGAATTCTTACCCTCACCATCGCAGACTAAGCAATATTTCGCCCCTCTTCTGTACGAGCCAGGCGAGAACTGGGCGTATAGTGTAAGCATCGACTGGGCTGGCAAGATGGTGGAGCGAGTGAACGGAGGAATCAGCCTTGGGGAGTATATGCAGCAAAACATCTTTGATCCTCTGGGGATGACTTCGACGGGATTCCGCCCGGAGAGGAACGAGAACATTAGCAGGAACTTATGCCCTACCACGAAGCGGACTCCTGAGGGAGATTTAGTACCCACCGAGCCGTATGCCATTCAGAATCCCAAGGACGATCTTGGTGGTGGCGGACTATACTCCGCCGCGCCCGACTACGTGAGAGTGCTCATCTCGCTGCTGAGGAACGATGGGAAGCTTCTGCGATCAGAGACAGTAAAGTCAATGTTCACGCCGCAACTTTCCGATGACAGCCACCTGAGGGCCACGGTGGGCGAGCCATTGGCAGGCCCGATGTTTCGAGGTGCTGTGGATAGCCCGGCTTGGAATTTCGGTCTCGGAGGCATCCTAAACATGGAAGATGTGGATGGCGTATGCAAGAAAGGGACACTCACCTGGGGGGGTCTTCCTAACTTATTCTGGGTTTGTCGAAGCTTCTCGCTGATCACTACATGGAAGCTTACATATTCCAGTGGATCGACCCTGCAGCAGGTAATTGTGGCATATATGCCTCTCAGATTATTCCACCAGGAGACGCAGAATCGATGGCCCTGGCGGTTGCGTACCGAAGAGATATCTTCGCAAAAAGCATTGCACAAAGCTAAGGTGGCATACAATCGATGTATCGGTAAGCTATTGAACGCTAGCGGCTGGGAGGCCTCTGGAACAGTGAGTTTCTCGAACAAACTCAGCTCCTCCTCCATGTGCAGCAGAACAAAGACAAGTTTCCGGAAGAAGCTGTATCTTAGTTCATGGATAGAAAGTAGCCACCGTGAACAGATCGAGATGCGGAGTCTTCAATGTTTGACCAAGTAGACCTGCTGCTCTCGTTGTGGCCCATGGCGCAGACGGTCAAAATTGTAGTGGCACTGGATTCGGACAGTCGCATGAGATTGAATACGGAACGCTTCCTCGAAAGGAATTGAGCTTGAGTAGCCACATGTCACGGGCTCTCCTTCTCAGCTGCTACCGATATCATATCAGGATTGTATGGCAAGCCCCGCCGAATTGGTCCTGTCTTGGCGAATGCTGACAAACAGCCTCGGTCAGAGGTAAAACACCGAGTACACTTCCGTCCATTTAAGCAGGTGTCGGGTCTCGCCCAGGTAACCAACGATACAAATATTGGGATATGAAATGCGTTTGGGTGATTGATTGGTCGAGCATCATTGAGGAGGTCAGATAGCTCCTCACCTGTACCAGGACCAAGTCAGCTGCCGCTGGGGAAAGTGCAACCATTCTCTCGTATTTTGCGCCCTTGTGGTGACATGCTGACATGTGCATAGGTTCCGACAAAGGGCTTTTCCGGATACGGGTGTTGATCTTAGCATTGTTCAGGAAGCTGGGTAGGTCGGCCAAGGAGATCTTGTCGAGCGAGTATACCATGCTGGCCTGCAGACCAGCCAGGGGGGAGCATCGCAGATTTCCCATCCAGGTCTCGTTCTTCAAACCACGGCAGGCGCCGAGTTGCCGTTGGGGCTGAGCCAGGCTGCAGATAGAAGGTATAAATGGACTTCTTCGGCCATGCAGACTTGACCAACAACCACCAAAGAAGAATCGGACTAGACGCCTCTTCCCTCTTCACAGATTATTCACGATGCCAACAGGAGGTTGCCTTTGTGGCCAGCTCAAGTATGAGTACGCCGGAGACCCTGTTATGAAGGTATTTGCCACCTTGAACGTGTTCCTTGATGTTGCTCACTCTTTCAGGCAACGTGCCACTGCATAACTTGCCGCCACGTGAGCGGAAGCCTCTTCACCACCAACATTGTCGTGCCAGAAGGAAACTTCAAGGTGACGAAGGGAACACCCAAGACATATGCGACTACTCAAGATAGTGGCATGATCTTGAAGTACTCATTCTGCGAAAACTGTGGTTGTGTTATCAGCAAGGTCGGAGACGGCGAGGCATTCCAGGGAGTGACTCTCATTCTGGCTGGTTCGCTTGACGATGAGTCTGGTGTAGAAGGTGCAGAGCCGGCTGTCGAGTTCTATGTGAGCAAGCGGGCTACATGGCTCCCGGCGCTGGCAGGAAAGGGACAAATGCAGGAGTTTTCCTAAAGGTCTAAGAGATATTGAAGGTGAAACGAAGTTTCGTGGAATGCAGTAGCGACATTGCGGAGAGTTGGAGATGCATCTCGGGCGAGTTTCCCTGATTTACGAGGGGAAACTGCGCTTGCTGATACCTCGTCGTGTATTGCGTCAACAGATACAAGGCTCTTCTTTGCCGACACCAAAATCAATCAGCTTGAGCAAATGCTCTCGTGTCGTGTGTCTCCTTCGAGGCCATTCCCATCGGCTGAAAAGGATGCGCACACAATGGATGAACAAACGCCTCTCATCTCAACCGTCTACGTGACTCGACGCCCACGGCGAACTCCGCATACGACCTTGAAGCGATTCTGTACCATTGCGCTTGGGAGCTGCCTGCTCGTTATTGCCATATGCTTTCTCCTCCCAGTCGCCATTCTTCCTCGTGGTCACGACTCCGTCTCGGCCTATCTGCCTTGGTCTCGGCCATATCCGGCATCATGGCCGCAGAGCAACGGACTCAACTTCGCTGAACTAGTGGACCTGTTGCTGGAAACCCCGAGCGAGGATAAGGCTCGTGCATGGAGTGAATACTATACTGCTGGGCCTCATTTGGCTGGCAAGAATCTCAGTCAAGCCCTGTGGACAAGAGAAAGATGGGAAGAGTTTGGAGTAAAGACGGAGATTGTTGCCTACGACGTGTTTATCAACTACCCACTTGGCCATCGGCTTGCTTTGCTGGACGGGAAGAAGGTCAAGTATGAAGCTTCTCTGGAAGAGGATGTTCTCCACGATGACCCAACTACCTCTCTGGAAGACCGTGTACCGACTTTTCATGGCTACTCTGCCTCCGGTAACGTTACCGCACCATATGTGTATGTAAACTTCGGGACCTATCAAGACTTTGAGGATCTTCAAGCTGCAAATATCAGCTTGAAGGGCAAAATTGCCCTTGCAAAATACGGTCGCATCTTCCGTGGTCTCAAGGTCAAACGAGCCCAGGAACTGGGTATGGTCGGCGTGGTCATGTACTCTGACCCGCAGGAGGACGGAGAGATCACAGAGGAGAATGGGCACAAACCTTATCCTGAGGGACCAGCGAGGAATCCGAGCAGCGTGCAAAGAGGCAGTACGCAATACATAAGTGGGTTTGGACAGTCGTCCTTTGACTGACAACTGCTGACAGGTGTTTCCGCAGGCACTCTTCCCGGCGACCCAACAACCCCTGGCTATCCGTCGAAGCCTGGCGTACCTCGCGTCGATCCACACTTCTCTACTCCTCAGATCCCGTCGCTACCTATTTCTTACGCCGATGCTCTTCCTCTCCTCAAGGCTTTGAACGGATATGGGCCGAACGCCACATCCTTCAATAAATACTGGCACGGCGGAGGTTTGGAGTACAAGGGCGTGGAATACAATATTGGTCCCTCACCAGACTCGGTGGTTCTCAATTTGGTCAATGAACAAGAGTACGTGACGACGCCACTCTGGAACGTCATAGGAATCATCAATGGCACCGCCAAGGACGAAGTGATAGTCGTCGGTAATCATCGTGATGCTTGGATCGCAGGAGGGGCTGGCGATCCTAACTCAGGCTCAGCGGCGCTGAACGAAGTCATCAGGTCCTTTGGAGAGGCGCTCAAGGCAGGATGGAAGCCCCTTCGAACAATTGTCTTCGCGAGTTGGGATGGTGAAGAGTACGGTCTTGTCGGTTCGACTGAATGGGTTGAAGAATACCTCCCGTGGCTCTCTGCGAGCACGGTTGCATATCTCAACGTGGACGTCGGAGCTCGTGGAAAACACTTTGATGCTGCCGCATCTCCGCTGCTGAACAAGCTACTCTACGCAGTCACCAATTCGGTTCCTTCTCCAAATCAAACTGTCCCAGGCCAATCCGTCGGAGATACTTGGCATGGCCATATACGTACTATGGGGTCAGGGAGCGACTTTACTGCGTTCCAAGACTTCGCGGGAATTCCCTCGCTTGACTTTGGCTTCGGCAGCGGGCCGAAAGACGCAGTTTATCACTATCATTCGAACTACGATTCCTTTCACTGGATGGACACTTATGGGGACAAGGGATGGCACTACCATGTCACGGTAGCAAAAGTGTTGTCACTGCTCATTGCCCAATTGAGCGAAACCCCTGTCTTGTCCTTGAGCGCTGGAGATTATGCCCAAGGCCTCAAAAACTATCTGGCTGATGTGAAGGAGAGGTCAAAGTTGCATTTGGCCGGATCGAGCTTCAGCTTCCACGCCCTTGACAACGCCACCACGGAATTCAAGAAAGCAGCTTCAAGATTCGATGACTACACAGCCGACTTGACAGACAGGCTTGCTGAAGATGTGCCATGGTGGGACTGGTGGAAGAAAGTCAGGCTGTTTTATGAAGTGCGGAACGCCAATGAGAAATACAAAGCCCTGGAACGACAATTTCTGTTCCCTGGCGGTTTGGATGAAAGGCCTTGGTTCAAGCACGTGGTCTTTGCGCCAGGTCGTTGGACTGGATATGCCGGCGCCACCTACCCGGGGCTCGTCGAGAGCTTCGAGGACAAGAACTTGACGAACGCTCTGAAATGGAGTGAGATCATACAGGAAAGGTTGCAGGCCGCCACCAGGTTGTTAGAGTAGCTCGACAGGGTATACAAAAAGTACTCCAAGCTTGTCGCACCCATGCTCCAATCGTAACCTCTGTAACAAGTCAGAGGAGGACATCATCCTGGCTTCAACAGATCTCTTGATGGCATTGCCGGAGCTGATGCTCTGCCCTTCCACTCGTCGTGGGCCAAAATGAAGTAAGACGCGCCAATACTCCGTACTCAACCCAAGATTGCGCAAGTAGCGAACCAATCCCGCCTGTGGATAGCCCAAGAATCAGGCACACCAGGAATCATGGCTGACCGGGCTCAAATCCGTAAGCACAAGAAGCTCCTGGCTCGGTTTGGCTCCTCTGAAAACCCGACATATAAGCTTGGCACAATACATGCGACGTGTTGGCTTCTCCGCGGCCAATCCCTTTACTTCCTTTACGCGTCAGGAGGGCCGGTACATACCACAAGGTATGACCATGTAGACTAGGGACAAGTAGTGCTCATTGTTCATACATAGTTTAGTGTCCGTCCTCAATCGAACTTGCAGATACAAGAACTGCACGAAACGGAGCCTTTCGACTAGTAAACCATTGCCACTGCTAATTGCTTCGACGACTAGTCGCGATTCTACTCTCCTCCTCTCGTCATGGCAGAGAATCTGCGGTCTTACCTTCACTGGGCAGCGTCTCCGCTCATCGTCAATGCCCCCATGGGAGGCTATGGGGGCGGAAAGCTTGCAGCCAGAGTCACACAAGCCGGTGGTCTTGGAATGATAGGCTCTATCATGCACGACGACCTAGAGAGAGAGCTTGCTGTTGCACAGGAAGCATTGGGGCCAATACAGGGGGGCCATCCTCTCCCTATTGGCGTGGGCGTACTGCCCTTCGTCGCGGAAATCGACCTTGTTCTCCCAATCTTACAGCAATATCAACCGGCAGTATTATGGTTGTTTGCTGCTAAGGAGCTAGAGGACTACGCAGTATGGGCTGGCAGAGTCCGTGAAGTTTCTCCGCAATCGAAGATATGGATTCAAACTGGCACAGTATCCGCGGCGTTGAAAATTGCACAGCTGGCAAAACCCGACGCGTTGATTCTGCAGGGGGCAGACGCTGGAGGTCATGGCTTTGAGAGAGGAGCAAGCATGGTGTCCCTCTTACCAGAGGCGAGCGATGTCTTGACAAAGGCCGGTCTGGGCAATATTCCCCTGCTCGCTTCTGGTGGCATCGCTGATGCTCGTGGTGCTGCCGCTGCCTTCACCCTTGGAGCAGCCGGAGTAGTCCTTGGAACCAGGTTTCTGGCGGCGAGAGAGACAATTGTACCGCCCGGTTATCGAGATCTCGTGCTTGCTGCGAGCGATGGCGCTGCGAGCACGGTCCGGAGCAAGCTGTTCGACAATGTGAATGGACCAAATATATGGCCAGACGCTTATGACGGGAGAAGTCTGGTCACGGAAAGTTATAATGACTATGTACGAGGCGTTGACATCGATCACATCAGAGAAATGCACCGAAAATCAGTCACAGGTACGGATGCCGGATTCGGGATGACAAATCGTGCGAATGTCTGGGCGGGCTCTGGTGTAGGGCTGGTGAACAAGCTGGAGAATGCGGCAGATATTGTCGAAGAGGTCAGATCAGGTGTCACGCAAATCTTGAAGGATGCCGCCGCCCGGCTGTAGTTTGGACGGGTTTCATATGTTCCAGGACCCTATTCTGTATGCGGGCATCCAACACGCCGTGGACGACGCCTATGCCCAAGTCCTGCAAATGGTTCAATTATATGCTGTCCCACCAACCCCGAACCCGCTTCTCGTAGCGCCTAACTCGCTGCTATATCTCCTGGCGCCGTGTGGAATCACACCCGGACCCAGCCCAATCGGACTCGAGACTCGTCGGAGTTGCAAGCTCTGCCGTCGAGAAGGAGGATTTGAAGGTCTAAGCAAGCTGCCTTCGGGCGTGGGTTGATCATCCTCCACGGCATCCTCGAAGACTGATGAAGGTGTATGCTTCCTGAGATGTGCATCGGATGATGAAATAGCAGAAGCTTTGGCGTCATCGTCCTCCTCAATATCCACTTCATCGTCACTGTCATCCTCTTGAGAGTCTCCGAAGCCCTCCATCTCTACCAGGAACCAGACCGGAACAGCGCCAATTACCGCCACCAAAGCTAATGTCCACCAAGAGATGATCACATATCCAATATCCACACCTTCTGTGAAGGTCAGCCCTGCCAAAGCGGGACCGGCAGCTCTCCCGAGAGCAGAAATACTTGTTGCGACTCCGTTGAGAGTACCCAGGATTTTCAGACTAGCGGCGCTGTTGGTGAGAAGGATGGTCGAGCATGGAAATGCAAAGATACCACAGAAGCATTTGATCAACATGATCACCATCATGACTCCTTGCCTCAGAGAGTTGGTTGGTAAAAGAGCGGTATAGGGCGTCGCAATGTAGGCCAGAGGGAAAGCGACGCAACACGCTTTGAGGCAATTCAATACGCCGTACTTCCTTGCAAACGGCGGAAATACGAAGAACTGGATGATCATGCCAAAAATACCGTAGGCAGTGAACAGCAAGCCTATTTCTTTCGAGTCGATGCCAAAGCCCCCCGCAAACTTGAAGGGGAGTCGTACATCTGGATCATGAATTGATTGCACCGGATAATGCATGAAGATCGCCAGTAGCTGATCGTAGGCAACGGAGTGCATCTGTGAGGACGTCAGCTATGGTGTCAACTTCGACAATAAGTAGGTAGTTGGAACGATCGCATCGTTGCATCGTGACGGCAAACATACAGCAAGGAATGTATAGACAAGCAAATTGATATTTGACTGTCGGGAGAAGACCTCACCCCATCCCGGAGTCTGTTTTCGCAGATTGTGGATAGCATGCTGCGAACCGGACACGGGCGTCGACATCTCGCTAGAAATCCCAGAGAGAAAGGCCTCTGACTCTTCGTTGTTCTCCTGCGTCGGCTGGTGTCGCCTTCGGACGCAAGGGCGAGTGAGGAATCTGCCAAGGATGAGACCATAGTCCCGCCGCGTTCTCTTCTCTTCCAGTGTTTCCTGAAGGAAAAGAAAACCTGCCGTGATACCGCCCATGAAAAGCACACTGATCAGAAGATTTGGCAAGGCGAAAGGATATTCCTGCAGCAGCTTCATCTTTCCGAACACTTGGGGATATCGTTCCACAGGGTGGACGAGAGATCCACCGACCGATGGCCCAAACACACTGCCGACGTTCCACACCAGCGGCATGATACTGAACGCGCGAGGCTGCAACTCTTTCTGTGGTACCAACTCCGCAACAGCCGTTCTGATGATCCCAACGTTCCCGTTCGACAAGCCCTGCAGTGATCGCGCTATAAAAGCCCACGCGAGATTCTTCGAAAAGCCGAATAGAATGCTGGACAGCATCGTACAGGTCAAGGCAACGATAATGATAGGCTTGCGGCCAAAGCGATCTGAGGCTCGCCCCCAGGCAACTCCGGTCAGGCATTGTGAGAGGGAAAAGGTAGCGGACATGAGGCCGGCCCATTGAGCGACTTGGTCATCCCCGACGTTGAATGACTGTATCATCTCCGGCTGTCATCTGGTCAGTTGAGAGCGCATTGACAGCAGAGATGCAAGACTCACGATATAGGGGTAGACGGATGTCGATGCGACAGGCTCTGCGAGGCGGCATGCTGCGAGAATGAGTAATTGTTGGTTGGGCAACTGAAGTGGCCGCTTCGCTCTTTTCGCCATGACTTGAATCCGGTCCACAGATGGTAAAAGCCATGGAACTCAGGCTGTGTCGCAACCAGGACGTCAGAGAGAGCGCAGGAGATGTCGGAGATCGAGCAGGAAGACGAGATGGGCGACGGTGAAGAGAGCAAATGTGGAAAAGGCCGTCAAGGCGCAGTATGGCCGGGTCCCACCGTTGCTGTTCTTGACGCATTGTGATCCTGGGGATCGTGACCGCATCTATCCAATCCTCGGCGCTGGGTAAGAAAATCTGTGGAAACGGGCGGCAAAGGAGGGGTAAGGCATCGGCAGGCGGTGGCCGGCTTGAGAAGGCTTGTTCATGCAGGTGCCGAGTTCCGGTCCGCAGATCCTCCATTCATAGTATAGATATATGGATCAATTATGACAAGCTCGTGACCTGGCTCGACCATCTCCTGAGAACGACATCGACGCACGTCTTGACGAAAGTCAATCCGTGGATAGCCAGCGAGCCACAGAATGGCTTACCTTCCAACTTGACTCTGGGCGGTGAGCGGCGGCATCGCTGAACAATCCAGGAATGAGAACCAGCACCGCAAGACAGACCATATTAGCAAGATCGTGTCGCCATCGGTATACGACGGCGATAGTTTGCATGATTCGATCTCAAGCGAATGACATGTTCGCGGATAGTCGTGTCCTGTGCTGGCTGTGGGGACCGCGACTGCGATCAGCTGCGCAACGAAGTGGTTAGGAGGGCTCGAAGGTCAATGTTCGCATCTGGTGAGTGTGGCCCTTTACGCCATAATCATCTCCTACATATTCGAGAAGGTCTCGAGTACGCTTCGCCGAGGAGATAGGGTCACGTAGGAGAGTATTCTGTTGCGGAACCTCATTCTTTCCAACTCCAGTCTCGGTTCAATACCATGCTCAGGCCCCGAAGGCGAGCTCGCTGAGATCGAGGGATCAAGCCAATCGAGGCAAGATCATGCCGTCTGGTCGATCAAGCAATCATGGATCGAACTGACTGAACATACGGGTCGGGTCGAAATCTCATGGGCCTGAGGATGTGCTGTCTGTTCCTTGGCCGCCTACCACAGTTTCCTCGACCAAGTTGAGCAGAGGGAGTCGTCTACCGCTGACGCCCAGAGAATTGTGGAGCTTGCCGACCCTAGACACAACTCGAGCACCCTTGCTTTCAAAGAGAACTCGCTCAATCTAATCTGGCAAGGTAGATTCGAGTGAAGGCCAGGGAAAGGGGTAATTAGGCTGTACCCCTCCCAATGCCCGCCTTGTATCGTGCCAGAGCCCGCTCTCGCGCCTCTTTGTGATCAACCATCGGTCTCGGATACCCATTCATTTCAGCGACCTTCGCATAGCCTCGACCATATGGGTCATGAATGCCTTTGTCCCTGATACCTGCAAGCTCAGGAATCCACTTACGAATATAGTCTCCTTCCAGGTCGAATTTCTCACTCTGAAGCAAGGGGTTGAAGATTCGGAAATATGGCTGTGGATCGACTCCCGCACTCGCAGAGAAGCCCCATCCGCCGTTATTTGATGCGAAATCACCATCGATAAGGTGTTCCATAAACCATTTCTCCCCCATGCGCCAGTCGATGAGGAGGTCTTTCGCCAGGAATGATGCCACTATCATACGACACCTGTTGTGCATATATCCAGTGTGCCTAGCCTGCCGCATGGCGGCGTCGACGATCGGAAAACCCGTCTTCCCGTCCGTCCATCGCTTGAACTGATCCAGATCATACTCCCATCGGATATTGCTATACTCCGGCTTGAATGGTTTGTTCATGCTGTGGAAGTCAGCTCATGTACCGCCAGCGAGAGCCATACCCACCAGATATATGGCCAATGGCAGAGCACGTGCCTGTAGAACTGCAAAGGGTGGTTAGCTGGCGTGTGCGTATCACCTGGGCGGAGAGATGAACGCACGTCTCTCCATGCCACCTCACCGATCCACATTGAGTGTCCTTGTTTCCGGTCGTCGGTCAATCTCTTCGATGGCGCGGCGTCTCGGGCTTCACGAACTACAGTTCGTGCCGCGAGCGTTCCCGCCGCCAGGTGTGCGCTAAGATTCGAGGTAGCATTGCCTCCCGGGAGGTTCCTGTTCTCATGGTATTTTAGGATCCTTTCCAAGATGAACTTTCTCAGTCTCGCCCGTGCCTCGTGTTCTCCTGCAGGCCACATTGCCTGGAATCTTGTCTTCTCTTCCTCGCTCAGCTGTTTCGACTTGGGTGCTTCTGGAATTCCGCAGGCGAAGAGCTCGGGGTAGGCTTGCCGTGTAGCTGGAGGGTTCTTCTCGGGTGAGGGAAAGGCGTCGAGTTGCCCTGAGTGCTCGTTGAGGTATGCGCACCACTTGCGGTGCCAGGGGCTGTAAACTGAAAGTGCACCACCAGCGCCACTTTTGAGGCAGCCAGGCTGAACAACACAGGTATCGTGGACGACGTTGAAAGATATCCCTTTCTCCAAGCAAGACCTCGTCAATGTGGCCTCTCGTCTGAGCTCGTCGACTTCATACTCTGCGTTGCAAAACACATGGTTCGCACCCCAGTTCGTACAAAGCTCGATAAGTCTCGACGGCAGTTCCCTTCTCCTTTTTACCGTCTCGACGTACAATGGAATATCAAGCTCGGACAGGTCTTCTTTCAACTTTTGGAGGTTGCGCAGGATGAAATCGACCCGGATAGGTGCGGTTAGGTGTGCTTCGAAGTCCTGAGGCGATATCAGATAGAAGCATAGCAGAGGCAAATTATGCTTCCTTGCTGTCTCGCTCGCCAGGTGTAAGGCCCTGTTGTCCATCGTGCGAGTGTCACATTTGAACCAATGGACGACACATTTGCCGGGAAGGATGCTGTCGCGCTGCACCTGCGTCTCACTGATGGCCTTCTCCAGTGTCTCAACCGGTCGCTCAATCTTGCCAGCGCTGTATGCCAGCGCGCGCTCGTTGACCATCTCGG